TACTTCACCCTATCATCATCATCCCTTTTTTATTAGATAATGTCAAGATTTTAACGTGATCTTTTTGAAATACCAATAATATGACAGTTTGTTGTAACATTTTAAAGTTTTCCAACAAAAAAGGTCAAAAGATAATAGTAGATAATAAATCGCTATTTACTGAGAATTATAAGTAACATATTTTTTACTATGGTTATAACTGGATTTTAAATTTTGTTTTAGAAATAAATAAAATTATATATTTCGTTAAAGCAAAATATACTGGTAACACTGGAGATAAATGATTCAAAAATACTTATTATCGTCATGCAATTTGGAAGTTGACTTAAGTTGAACAAGCATGAAATTGTTATTAACAGTTTATTATTTTATATAAAAATTATGTAGGTATACAAGTTTACCTAATATTCTTATATTTTGATTTTTAATTCTATGATACAAAACATATCTTAATATATTCTTAAGAGGCTAAAATGGCACATGTTATCACATTTGGTTAACAATTATTCTTATTATGTGATCAAACATCAATCTACTGAGGATTAGAATGATCTCCTTGGTGAAATAAATTGAGAAGTTCTTTTTCATAACTGTCTCGCTTAAAGTAATGAAGAATATCAGATCTCTCTATAAATGAGTTTGCATCAGTTAGGGTACTGTAAATTTTCTTATTGGCTAACATGTCTTCTTCTAAAGGCATTATGGCTAGATAGGTGGCCACAGCTTTTGCAGCATCATTAATTCTATCTAGGTGATAATATGATATCTGCAAATAATTTAGAATATCAGCAAGGAATTCCACTCCTGTTGTGTAATCAAGGAGAGAAAGTTTTTCTTGACAAGATTGGTGGCAATGCAGTAAAGATGCAATATTATTTGATACAGTTATAATAAATTCAGACGATCCATCTTGATCTGGCTGCCTTTCACATTCAGCACGACATATATTCTCTGATGATAAGTACTCTGTCAAAACTTCTTCCATGTTGGCTACAGTGTCTGCCCAATTGTTTTGTTTGTAAGATTTAAGGCCAAGATTATAAAGAACTACATAATCTTCACTTTGGAAATCTACAACATCATTGATATCTACTTCAGGTTGTTCAACATAATACTCAAGGTTTTTTTTCATGTTATCATCATTAGGATTTGCAACAAGGTAGGTGTAGGCAGCAGATGCAGCTTTTGGTAATGCATACATTTGAAAATAACACATATGCAAATATTCATAGGGCTTTCGTGCTCGTATGTTGAAAATCATTTTCTCATCAAGTTCACTGTCTAGTTGCACATCACTGAAGCCTTTATCTCGACAAGCATTTAAACATGTTCTGGTAACAAAAAATTTTTCATATATTTTTAAATCTTCAACATTATTCTTTATAATACTTTCAAAAGGTTGTGATTTGCATTTCAACCTGCAGTTGACAATCACGGATTTATAAAGTTTATATAAATGCAATGATTCTTCAAATTGTGTTATACATTCTGACCACCTCTCCCCAGTGTATGCAGAGACACCTTTTACAAAAGCTTTTTCTATGGAGGAAACTTTACAGTCACTTCTCACAATTGATAATAAAAGTATGAAATATTTTAAATGTCGACTATACATTTTCTTTAATTTGTTCTCATTTACGCTTACGAATTTTAAAGTGATTCTCGGAAAGTAGTAGGTAAAGTACACGGATAATGGAAAAATAAAATTATAGGAACATCAGTTTTTGATAGAGATGTGCCGAGTCAGGCTGACTCGAATACTGACTCGAATACCTGGCAGGTACTCGAGTACTCGAAATATGGTATTCGAATACTCAGTCGTTGTACTAGTACAGTGAAGTTAGTAACGTGATTTGAACGTGTTTATGTTTCCTACTCGGCCGATCAGTTAAATGAGATGTTAACAATAGTTTAATTACATATTTGTTTCTTTTAAGGAATTATCTATTTTAATTAGTCGAACTCTCAGTTACCAGTTTAACTGTAGAATTTGTGAAAAGTTTTACTGTTTTAACTAGTGACTTTGTAATAGGATGGCTTCGAAGAAAAAATCCGAAGTAAGGAATTTTTATAATATTTTACCAAATAAAAAAGTGGAGTGCAGAGAGTGTAAAAAACATTTGTTAATTTTGGAAACACCACAAAGGACATTGTTCTGCGTCCATACATTGTTAGCCTAAGAACCAACAATCATGAAATATTATTTTCTAGGTTCGATATTGCAAGTAAATGACTATAAAAACAAAGATTATTGACGGACACTTTTGAGAACTTAAATTATCAGAAAAACATAATATTTTTTGAGGTTATGTTTAATATTAAATAAAACATAGGTCAATCTATGAACTTAGTATGAACTCAGTATGAATTGAATTAATATTACAACTAATTCATTTTTATTCGATGCGATTTTAAAGAATAACTATTAGGAAAAACTTGGTAAGGTAGGAATCATGAATAAAATAAAAACTGTAATTTTGCTGCTTATTTTTTAACTATTTTTCACATAATTGTATCATACTGTATTTTATTTGTATATCACATGTATATTGTATAAATATGCAGCGTGAATGTGTATCAGCTGCTCTTGAATAATTTGGCAGTATGTATGATCCTCTCAGGATGTTGTGGCACTTGGTTCTCGTTCATCGTTTTGGTTTTGGTTCAGGTTCTCTAGCACTTGGTCTGGGTCTGCTATTTGGTAACATCGATGGCATATTAGATAGCCGAAATAGTTAAATTAAAGAAAAACAATCGCAAATAAACACACACAACAGGAAGGAAATCCAAAACGAGAATCCACGAATGCCATAGATTACTACGAATGCAAACTGCCTGCACCACAACCACAGAGTATCGAGTTTTATGTCGGCCCTTCACTTGACAACAATCTGTCATTGGTAGTTTTCCAATTACAGTACTACAGCGCATTATGCGGCATAATGCCTATCGTTGAATGTTTCAACTACAGCAACGCTTCGCACAATCGAGAACTCTCAAAAGTAATGTTTTCGTGTGATGCGTGCAATCGTACCAACTCAGTGACAGAAAATTAAAAAGTGTTTTTTCTTTAAGTTGGTATTGATCGAAATGTTTTATTTATTAAATATCCTTAGTAATATTATTGAATGTTGAAATTTTTTGAAAGTTCTCGTTTCACTGTGGTTTTTTTTAAATAATCATACTTAATTTTAACTGCGTTAAAAATAAATATAAGTATGGATGAAGGTACAAACATTGACTTTTTTTTCAACACTGAACTTAGCGCACTCTGCTGGTGCATTTGAAAACTAATTCACGTTCCAATTAAGCATCAGCATAATTCGGCATTGTGCGGCACTGAGTCGCATTATGCTCTGTAATTGGAAAACTACCCTTGTCATGCTTAATATGGAATAAAAAGGACAGACTGATGTCAAGTTTTCAAAATGCAAACACAAATAGCCAAGTGAAGTGCCGGCATTAGGAAGAAAGAGTGTTTTATTTGCAGCGCTGCCACAGATTATACACATAAAATGGTAGTCTCAGATTATTGTTTAACTTTTTAATATAGCTTACTTAACTGGAAGTGTCCGTCACAATCTAAATACTGATAATTATCACAAAAAATAAACTAAGAATTATCATAAATGCCAAATTGGTGTTGGTTCTTAGGCCAAATTTAACATTGTCCTTTATAAAATTTATACAGTGATAATAGAAAAAAGACGAGCGAGCCTTACAGTAGTCGCGTATGATGTGTAACATTGAAATCTCACCTTATATTAGTAAAAAAAGAAATAAAACCTACTACAAAAGGAATAAGCCATTGAACATTATGTTCTAAAATCAAATCAAATAGCGCGCGCTTTTCCATTTCATGAAATCACTCCCACAAATTGCAGGAAAGCGAGAGGAAAGATGTCCCACATCAAAAAGTAAGCAAAATGAAAGCGAATGCATGGATGAGAGTTCTGATTTGAACTTGGAGTCATAAGACTCAAAACGTAGCTTATTAATACGATGATTATAATATTAACAAATGACTGATTATACATTTAATCTATTATTATGAACATATTATCCTTTTATTCATATAATATGATTTTTAATGATGATGATGAAGCAAATTTCAAGGTCCGATTAAAAAAATACTCGAGACCAGTAAATTATTCGAATACTCGTGCTAGTACTCGAATACCTGTCCGAGTCTTCCGACGAGTCCTAATTCGAATCTTTTTTTAACGAGTACTAAAATACCCGAATACCAAAAATAACCGACTCGGCACATCACTAGTTTTTGACAGATGACATTTATAAAATGAGGTAAACAATGGTGTCAATTCTGGCGTGATTCTCTTAAAACTAACTTTAAGGTCAGTCTCACCTTTTCATTCTGTATAGAGAAGGACAAGGATGCACTGTTGTCAAATTTAAGTTTAGCTTTAAAGAATCATGCCAGAATCGATATCAATATTTATATAAATAAAGACAGTGTTATTATTACAAAAAATACAAAAGATCCAACAGTGGGTTAATCGCTCAGGATTGCTATGGATATGCTATCGCTTACGATTTCATTTTGTAATTTCTCAAATACCTCGCCCTTTTTTTTGCATTGTTAATAACAATATTAATGAAAATGAGCGTGAGGTAGTTTGAAAACCTTCGGAGGTCAGAAATAACAAAATAATATCTTAAGCGACAGCGATAACCATAGTAATCCTGTTAGACAATTGACGCCCAGTTCAATCTACCGCGATATCAGATTTGGTTGGAAAGCCGCTTTTAAGCGATTCTCATACTATCACGCACGACGCTGCGTTTTTTAGTGTGAATCCAGCATGCGGAAGCGCTATACACGTAAAAGAGATCCTGTATCTCCATCTCTTTTACGTGTAGCTATGCTATGGCGCGGGATCCAAGATGGATAATTCTAATAGGACTTTAGTTCGGATGTGTGTATGGCCTGTACCTATAATGCTTGGACAATAATCTCGCTGCTTTGCTTATTGTCTATGGTTTAACAGAATTTGACAGTTGGATTTAAATCTTTAGACATAATCTTAGTCAATCTTAGTAATCTGTGTTTGAATCCAGATGTCTTACAATAATTCGGTTCTCGTAGGGAACTGGAGCGAGGAAAGACTGAAAAATGAGGTATTACGCAACGCATTTTCTGATAAATACTATTTTGGATTATTAAGGATGGTTAAAGATTCCAACCTCAAAATAATGTTTTAACACTAGCTTCCGCCCGCGAGATTGTCCACGTTATAACTAGTTTTTTTTTAAATTCCTCTAATATTTTCCGAAATAAAAGTACCACTGCATTGCCCTTAATTGCTTCTAACAATCTTGCTTTATACCAGTAGTAACACTCTTGATACATACCATACCTAAGAATCAGTCGTCAGAGTGTAAGTGCAGTGATTAGAAATTTTTACGTGCTGCTTTTTAAAGAAGTTTTACTTCAAAAATCCACCTTACCCTTACCCCAGCCAAGGGAATACAGGAAAATATATGCACGGTCCCGGTAGCACGATTACCGTCACTCATACGAGACAACAAGAATTCGACATTCGTAAACAGAAGGCGATGCCGACGCAGCGGTGCTCTTCCAAAACTAGGATCCAAGAAGCAGAGCCACTAGGATCCGTCCGAACCAAATGTATGATTGTGTGATAGACGCTTACTCTGTAGGAGGAGTACCTACAAAATACGAAATGAAAATTCTGATTTCAGTATGAATTCAAGATATTTTTACGAAAAAGGGAGAGACGAGAGCTGTTGCTCCAAAGATCACGAACGCTCTTCAGTAATTTGCTAAAAGAAGTGAGTATTTGTAGGATAAATGTCTTTAAAACTTAGGGGTTTCCCTTAGGTATTAACCAAACTTTTTCAAACAAACAGAATAGCAAGGAGTATTTTTATATCAATAATAGTCGTTCAGTTATATGAAGTAGTACCTATACGTATTATACGTATAATTGTAACTGCCTTACTTAACTGTCTTATTCTCGACACAGTAAGCTCAATTTTTATTGAATCAATAGTTTGTATTATAAGTTATATCATAAATCGTCATAAGAATGTAAGAATTTTGTATAAAAAGCATTTCACACATTCTTATAATTATGACGGTTCCAGTGTACTTTGTACCGTCATCAAAATAGGCGTTGGTGGTAGGTTAATAATGAATTTAGGGTCATAAGTATTTTTTGTTGCCAAATCAAAAAGTAGTTGTCAAATAAATAAATAAAAATTAGGAAGGGCAGGGCCTAGGGGTCTAGAAATAGCATACGAGCTATTCTCAGACCTACCAAAAATTCAAAAAAAAAAATGAAAACATCGAGGGCGTTTCGGAGGAGTTCTGTAACAAACACCGTGACACTAGATATTTGTCTTTTATTTAAAAGATTGTAATGATATTATTTAAAACACTAGCTTAAAATTATTTCAATCTTCAATCTAGTGACATTTCTTGCTATAATTAAGTTCGTTACTTTCCAGAGGCCCCTTGCAATAAGCGGTACCTTTGTGTTGTACGGGTTTAATGTGCAGTTAGTTGCTTCAGACATGCCAGGTATCTTTTTCACTTTTTAGCTTTATCTTTCCAAATCTAATATTATAAAGAGGTGCGGTTTTTGTATTTGGACACTGAACCTTAAAAGCTAGCATTTTTAGCGTCAGGACTTTATCACCACTTAGCATCAGGTGGGGTAGAGTAATTTGCCTATCTAGCTGTATAAAAAAGCGTGTACAGTAAAAAACGGCGAGAAATCATGTTTGTTGTATGGGAGCCCCCCCTTAAAAACTATTTTATTCTGTTTTTGTTTATTCGTTGTTATGGCGGCAACAAAAAACATCTGTGAAAATTTAAACAGTCTAGCTATCGGTTCATTAGTTACAGTTTGGTGACAGACAGACGGATAGTGAAGTCTTAGTAAAAGAGTCCCGTAATTACCCTTTGGGCACTTACCCTAAAAGCAAAATATCACAAAAATAAATTACATTAAACTAACTTTTTGGACAATGCTCGGCAGTGTTAATCTTGTGTATCTAATTGTAGGGACCCCCTTTGTTTTCAGCTTTTTTATATTGTAACTATGACTATAAATTGAAAACAAACCCCTACATACAGTTAAAACCATTGCCGGAAATAAAACCCAGTACGGGCTGGCGCTGTCAAGCCTGGTGACAGATCGTCAAGTGGACTACATGCAAAACATTAACGATGGATGTCTGATGACACTTTCACCAATCACCACTCCTTGCTGTCGGAACACTTTTGTTATACAAAGGTGTTTATTTATTTATTCCACTATTAAACTTAATTTATGACCATTTTTTTTCTGTTATCCTCAACAATAAGCTTATTGCGCTACAGGGCCTAGCCAGAGTTTTATTTAAGACTAGCCGTGCCCCGCGGTTTCACCCGCGTTTTTCTCGTTTCCGTGGAAATACCGAGATAAAATATATGGGTATAGGCTCTTAACATCTTACACACGTGATAACTTTTAAACGAAATATCCGATTGAGATGAAACAAAAAGTATTTTACTTCTACATAAATACTCTTGATAACATAATGCTTAATTTCGATAAAGATTAATATTACGATACATATTTAACGTAGTTTCTTTTTCTTCAGACGATTTAATAATTATTTTGAACACAAAATCGGTTATTGTGTTTAAATCATGATAGCTAGATATATGTTCTTCCGGACTTTTTTGTAGGTCTTAATGGGATCTACAAACCCGTAGTACATCATTTTGTTCTGTTGTCAATAGTTTTCGCAGCGCACGCAAAAATAGGTTTTTCGATTTTACGCCTTGTGTTACAAAATAATTTTATTACAGATCCCTAATTTTGAAAAAAAAAATCCTCTTCTCTCTTCCTCGATAAATGGACTACCCAACACTGAAAGAATCATTCAAATCGGACCAGTAGTTCCAGAGATTAGCGCGTTCAAACAAACAAACAAACAAACTCTGCAGCTTTATAATATTAGTATAGATAGGGCAGCGGTAATTACAGGTAGGGCATAACGGGCGTGCGTGTGCAGTCCTTAGCAGTCAGGCCCGGTTTTAACTATTTGCTGTTGTACTTCGCCACTCAAAATACACCGTCACTGTGCTCCAATATATGTTTTATATCAAGAAGACTTTGACAAATGAAAAAATGGGATCGTACTTTCACAACCACGCATATCCCTTGAAGAGACATAGAACCTTGTTCCGTGTTCTCAGGGTAGAGCGGTTTACTGTCTACCCGTCTGAGGAAGTCTCCTTCGTCTTCCTTTACTTTATAGTACTATGTGCGAGTCGGAATCGCGCATGAAGGGTTCCGTACAAGAAACCGCAAAAGGAAAAATCATTTGTTCTCGGGAACGCGTGGAGGTATCGAGTATAAAGGACATGGCTCAAATTTGTATGAAGGGTGGTAGTCTCCAACAGACTCCAAATTTATTTTTATGGCATGTAGTGCACTTAATTGTCAATTGTTTGACAAAAAAACTAGAATTTATTGTGTCCCCGTGTTTAAAATAATAATTATAACTTATAATTACATACCTACTTATTGATTGGCAAATGGCAATTTTATTTGTTGACTGTTTGTTGCCAAAACATCAAATATATTCTATTCAATAGGTAACTTAAGCACAGTGACACACTGTGCTTAAGTTTAGCAGTGTGTAGTAGACGTTAATAAACTGCTACAGACATGAAAATGAAAGAAAATGACTTTTTCTTTATTTTTTTACACTTACATTTTATTCTAGAATGGTATCCAAAAAGCAATATTCTCGGAACTGCTTTATTTTATTAATACCGTGTGCCGAGCTTCAGGACTTTATCCGTTCTCCAATAGAGGGCAGCATGGGTCTCGAAATGTACGTGGTTCATAGAGAAAATTGATATTTAATTGCAAATCAAAAAATTTACATTTTGTAAAAAGTTAAATCCCAATCCTAAGCAAAAACTTATTGTACAGCAAAATAGTCACCTCAAAAAATTGTTATATTAGTAACAATTTAAGTTCGTGATGCATCGCTATTTATTTAAAACGAAAGCTTTTTTAAGAATGCATAGCTGATAATAACCACCTCACAACAAATACATTACATCATTTTTTTTAAACAAAGCTGCCATATTTTCATCTCATACAGCAGTTTACATAAGTGAAACATCATTTTAATTGACATAAGAATCTAATTATTGAAGTAAAACTTCTTTAGGCACGCTTAGCTTGGGGGTTAAACTGGAGGAATCGGTTACGATTTCGCGTTACGATTAATGTCACTGGTGACTCATCGGTAAACAATGAACAATACCCGTCACAAAATATATAAATCTAGTGCTTGGTGGGTGATAACGGACCCAGTGTGGATTGGTGGGTGTAAACGGACCCAGTGCGGATTGGTGGATGATAACGGACCCAGCGCGGTTGGTGGGTGATAACGTTTAACAATATCTGCAAATCCAAATCTTTCAGCCGATAGAGTAAATAGATTTTTTGTTGACATTAGCGAGAAATTAGCCAGCAATTCTCGCGTACACTTGCATGACGCGGACATGGATGGGGCAAATGAGTCACACTCAAATTCGTTTGTTTTGCTTGGGACCGATGAACAGGAGGTTGGTAATTTAATTCAAAATCTAAAAAGTGAATGCTCTGTAGGATGGGACGGCATTTCTAACCAACTTTTAAAATCGCATAAAGATATTATATCATTCGACCATTGACGTTTATATTGAATAACTGCCTGCGTGATGGTGTTTTCCCGGAAGTACTTAAAAAATCAATCGTCATCCCGATTCACAAGGGCGGTGATAGAGATCGGATCTCCAATTACAGGCCCATATCTTTACTGCCTTCGATCTCGAAAGTATTCGAAAAGATCATCAACACCCGTATGGTACAGTATCTCGAAAAAAACAAAATATTATCGCTGAACCAATTTGGCCTACAACGAGGCAAATCGACTACTGATGCTATGCATGCTGTAACCGAGTTTGTTATCGACAGACTCGACGAGGGTAACAAATGTGTTGGCGTTTTTTTGGATCTAGCTAAAGCTTTTGATACGGTTTCCATTCCTACTCTGCTCAAAAAATTGTATAGGATCGGGATTCGAGACTGTCAATTGAAGTTATTTGAAGATTACCTCTCTGGGAGATACCAATGTGTGAATATAATGGGATATCGAAGCTCCGAACTAATGATAAAGCATGGTGTCCCGCAGGGCAGCATCTTGGGTCCAACCCTGTTCCTAATTTATATTAATGACCTGTGTCAGTTAAAACTCTCATATGGAAAAATTGTATCTTATGCTGACGACACAGTTCTATTATTCTCAGCTAAAACGGTAGCTAGGACCTATGATGCTGCACAAAATGGATTGAACCGTGTCATGCACTGGTTAAGGTCGAATAATCTGACACTAAACGCGGAAAAGACGAAATGTATTTATTTTACAATGCGTAATAAAAACTTATCTGATAAATCACAACAACAACTTCCGGAGCTCCGATTCCACAGTAATTGCAATTTGGGTACGACACTTCAACATGTCGGCGACATCAAATACCTCGGAATTGTGGTAGATAATAACATGTCCTTTAAATTACACGTTAAAGTTCTGTGTGGTAGAGTAAGAAAACTGATAGCCACGTTTATTACTGCGCCATGTCCTTGAGCCGACTTTACTAAAACGTATTTACATAGCCCTATGTCAATCACTATTGACATATGGTATTACAATATGGGGTGGAATGCCAAAAACTAATTTAATAAGTGTGGAAGTCGCGCAGAGAGCGGTCCTGAAGGTGTGTACTTTCAAACCCTACCTGTATCCAACTACGCTTCTGTATGATTATTGCGAGGTCCTTAGCGTCAGGAAGCTCTTTGTTTTGGCTATTACAATTAAAAAACATAGTGAAATTGTTTTTGACCCGACAGTGATGCAGAGGCGTAGAAGGGACATTGTTTGTAAACGTTTACACAGAAACTACAGAACCGTCTACGCTCAGCGCTCATATCGCTTTTTGAGTAGTCATATTTATAATAAGATCAGTAAATGTATTACAATCATACACCTCAACAATCATGAAGTTAAAAAGAAGATCACAAAGTTTTTACTTTTACTAGATTACGAAAAAACTGAGGAATTGGTTGCCACGGCCCTATAAATATAGATGCTTATGATTATATATACACATACGCACTACACACATATACACACACTTACGCACACGCACACACACACACACGCACACACATTTATTATACTAATGTACTGTAATATTGATTAATGTAGGAAATTATGGTACTCATGTTATTTGTATGGCTACATTGCAAATAAAATTCGGGAAGAGCGCTGAAGCCAAAATACAGGATGAACTTCCTAGTTTGGCTGAGGATGTCTATATGTAGGTACTTTGTGTGAAATAATGGCCTTAGTATTAACATATTTATAAGATTATTACCATGTACATTTTTTTACAAATAAATATATTATTATTATTATTAACGGACACAGTGAGGATTGGTGGGTGATAACGGACTAGTGTTGCCAGGTCCGATTTGTTTTAAATCGGACATGGGGTCAAAAGAAACGGGACTTAGGGTTGCAGATCGGGACAGTACAGGGTTTTTAAGTTTGGGTTTAATTTATTGTATTTTAAACTACTAGTGCAAGTATAGTATTATTCATTACCTTAAATTAATCGGAACATTTAACGTCAGCGTCAGATCATTGGAGCTAAAGAGCTTTCACTTCAGTCGTGTGGTCATAAGCACACTCGCTTTCAAAAGTGTCCCAATGTTGAGCAATTTTTGAAATGCTTAATGTGCAAGCTGTTGCAAAAATAGTTGTTTTGTTATGAGTGTGAGTATTTTGTGTCGAAGCTCTGGTTAATTTTCTATGCAATCGGTATATTTGCAGTGCAATCAGTATATTTGCTGTGCAATCGGTATATTTGATATGAAAATCATATTTCTGTACAATTAAACAAGTTTTTTGTTACTACAGATTAAATGTTTATTTTTGAAATATTTTCAGCACTAGTTTTGTTCAACAAATGTTTGATTTGCAGTAAAATAATTATTTTGATGTAAAAAGTATTAGTTATTAGTATTATGTAAATAACTTGATGGGTAATAAGTTATTTGCTGTGCATTTAAAAATATTCATTTACCAAATGTTTACAGTGCATTGGATCCAAGTATTCGTGGTCAAAAAATTAATTATGGAGACGAATTTCTATTGAAAGCTGAAAATTATGGTGAACCGGAGGTAAGTTTAGATTGAGTGGTAGGTACTAAAAATTAGAAGTTCAAGTTTAACCATCACCGCTTTTTACAAAAAGAAAAACACGGCTGGATAAAGAAAGGTTTGGATGATCTACTGTAATTTTTATTAAAACTGAATTGTCTTAAAAGGAGGAGCTTGATTTAGTTTATTTACTAGATGCCGCCCATGACTTCATCCTTCTTAACTCTTGTTTTTTGAGAATCCCACAGGAACCTAACATTTTCCGGGATGAAAAGTATCCTATGTCGCAATCCAGGTCATAAACTAAGTATATCAAAATAAATAAAACAAGTTTCCACATCCATCAACCTTTTCAGGCTGCGTCGTCAGAATTATGATTTTTATTTACTTTGTCGAGCTAACTTCGAAAGACTTTAGTTGAGCGTTCGGATACTTAATTGAAAGATAAAAAGAATATATATAGTCTATGTATGAATTTATTAACTATTTCAATTAATAAAGTACTTTATTAATTCTATTATATATTATTATATATTGAGCATTTTATTTAATTATATCAAGGTACCAAATTTCATCCAAATCCATTCAGTAGTTATTGCGTGATATATACATAAGTACTATCACACAAACAACCAAACATACAAACTTTCACATTCATAATATTAGCAGGATTTGTGCAGGTTAGCTGATTCTACCTGCGACCGTGGAAGTTAAGCAACTTTCGCAATGGTCAGTCATTGTATGGGTGACCTTAAACTTATTATCTCGAGTTCCTCCGTCCTTCGGAAAAGATGTTAAGCTATTGGTCCCACCGGCAGCATCATCACAGCACCCATCAATAGTCACCGCAATCGCGTAGTGGGTCATGGCCCAGTCTCCCTATGTCATGCATAAGGAGGGCCTGTTTTACAGAAGTGGGGATAATAAAGAACTGATGACGATGACAGGTTAAATGAATAATTCTGGCATGGGTGCAGGCGTTCTACGTTCAATATACGCCAGAAGCGGTATCCGGTCTAGCCGAGCGCTTACACATACGCTTGAGCGCCACTATACGCTGAGTCTTCTTTAATAGTTTATTGATGAATAATTCTGGTATAGGCGCCGCGCCAGCGTTGTCAACGGCTTGCCCATATGGTTGAGCGCCACTATGTTGCTGATTCCTCTTTAATAGTGTATTATAGATAGATAAATAATTCTGGTACAGGCGCCGGCATTCTACGTTCAATTTACACCAGAAGCGGTGTCCGGTCTAGCCAACCGCTTGGCTATACGTTTGAGCGCTTCTATGTCGCTGAGTCCTCTTTAATAGTGTATTATAGATAGATGAATAATTTTGGCACAGACGCTGCCGACCGCTTGCCCATACGCTTGAGCACCATCCTATCGCTGGGTCTTCTTTAGTAGGTATTATAGACAGATAATAATTCTGGTGCAGGCGCCGGCGTTGTACGTTCGTTATACGCCGGAGGCTGTGCCCGGTCCTGCCGACCGCTTGCCAATTCGCTTAAGCACCACTCTGGATAGCAACTGTCGCTGGACGACCACGCCCCTGCTGCCTGGAGACAGACTCGAGGGTCTTGGCAATCCTGTAAAGGTAAAGGATATCTATACTAATATTATAAAGAGGAAAACTTTGTATGTTTGTAACGCATTGGCTCAAAAAGTACTGAACCGATTTTAAAAATTCTTTCACCATTTGAATGCTATATTATCACTGATTAATATAGGCTATAGTGTATTTTCAAAAAAGTTTGGGGTTCCATATGAAAACTTCGATAATGTAACCCAACGTGTGTAAAATATACCAAAAAATAGCCTTATATCGCGTACGCTGCGGAAGTCATTGATAATAGAGCAAAGTGATTTAGTTTTATAGAGGATACTAGTATCTACAAAAAAGTCCGCGATACCATATGTATAACTATTACAGTTATGTCACAACGAGAGGTCCCCTGCGGTTTCACCTGCTTTAATTTGAAGAAAAGGGTTTTTAATGAATCAAAAATATGTGCGTAGACTTTTTTACAGAACTTTTAAAGGGGAAGAATTCCGTCATACATGATTTTTGTGTAACTTTAACCGTTTACCCAGCGCAAGCAACGGACTCTCACAAATGGAATATTTTTACCCGTTTTTTATCGATGTTTCGCTGCTACTGGTCGTAGCCTGGTAATATATAGCCTATAGCCTTCCTCAATAAATACACTGTCCAATACAAAAAGAATTTTTCAAATAGGAACAGCAGAGCAATTTTGCTTTCGGTACAACGGGTCCTAAACGACGCAACGAATTTTTTTACTTGGAATGGAAGGTTTATAATTATTATGAAGAAAGTCTTTGTATATAATACAAGCCTTTGAACAAAAACTATAGTCTACACTACAGCTCTACACCGAAGCAAAGCGAGGGCGGGCCACTAGTTCTATATAAAAAAAGTAAATAAGTAATCGCCTTAATGTACAGTCGGGTAGACATGGGTCGGATTAGGTAAAATCAGTATTTATGCAGTATCGCCGATCCCGTTATATATGACGACGACGTTATTGTGTGTATTCAATGTGGATAAGGTATAAATCGGATCTGGATTAAATTGAATATCTATTATGAAAATAACGTGTATTTTTTAATTGTTAAAAGAGCCACCAAAGAAGCTTATGGTCCGCTTGATGGTAAGCGGCCACCTTAGCCTATAGATGCTTGCGATACAAAAAATATCACTCAGTTTTACCTACCCTAACTCCATCCCCTATCCCGTGGAGCCCTGGAACCTTACTCACCGATATAAACACAACAACACTAAATGACAGTGTTATTTTACTGTGGTCTTCTTCTTCGTAAGGTGGAGGGTGCTTCCCCAGACGGACGCTCCAATTCGAGCGGCAAATCCGCTATGCCTACCTCATATAGGTTAAGGATTAGAACTTAACCTCAAAATATCAGATTGCCCTTTGTTTCCAAAACAATCATGTTTTGTGTTTTTTTTCTTTTTTCTATTATATCCTAAAGTGAGCAGCTGGTGCTTACTAAGGTTTTTCTTTCGCTGCCAATTTTAAATTCACTTTATTAGTCGGCGACCAGTACTAGCACAGATAAAATTATATCGCAGCCAGCTACGGTAACCCGATACCTATAATGACTTGAAATAAAATTTTATTGCTTTAGTTCACACTAGTACCTATCCATTTAGAATGTAATTTATTTTTCAGACTGGGGCCAAATTGATCGTGAAAAATTGTGTAGCTGACAAAAGTTTGTGTGTTATGAATCAGAATTGGATGCAAACTTTCTTCGGGCCCGTAAGTCTTCTATTTTTTTTAACTAAGGCACTTTCCTTACTGGATCGGTGAGGGCTCGTTTCGTTTTCGTTTCTTTACCGAATCTGTACAGATTCTTTACCGAGAACCACTTCTTGACCTAATAGTTTTGTGCGGTATCGTTTCGTAACAAATAAACGGTTTAATTTGCGGGCATGATAGGACGGGCGAGTCGAATGGTTCGTTAGTACTTGTTAGCACTCGGTACAGAGAGCATTGTTTCCGCTCGGTAAACAATCTGTAAGTACACATTCGGTACAGAAACGAACAAAACAACCCCGCGTCGACCCGGTGAGGAAGGTGCCTTAATTTTTAAGAAACATTTCCACCATTTTAATCTTATAACTGTCTAATTTCCGAACTCATCGTTCATAGTTGCGCATTATGAACATGATAATTTAATTTGTGTTTATTTGTGATAGTTCTGGAGCTGGAGCCCGCGGAGCCCTGGGGCTCCGCGGGGTAGAAAATGAGGTCAGATTATTTGTTACGCGTTTCATTGTATAACGATACTTATACCACAAAAAAGATACTACCGAAGGTAATATCATGTGTGTATTCCAATTTTTATACCTACTCTCGCGCGCTAGGATTGTAAACTTGGCTTGTGCACAAAAAAAAACATGGCAGTGGCACTCGTACGGAGGTATTTATCTAGTTGCTTGATTTATTGTTGAGAATGAAACAGGAAGAATGAAAATATAAACCAGTGATTACTCCAGTATTTCAACGTAAACATTAAAATTGTTATAATAGGTACAATTTAAAAAAAACGCCGATTCAGCGTTTAATGTTGAATTTAAACTACCATTCGCTGAACAGTGATAATATCATTCTTCTGTAGCACCAATTTGCACAAAAAAAATTACAGACACGTGTCTCAAGCGGTGGATTGTAAACTTCGGTGCAATCTTCTTTTTTTATACGGGGCGCAACGAATTACGATGATGCGGCAGGTGTGCCGGTCCAGCCATCCTCACCTAACCGGCCTGAACCTAATCAACTACACCGCCGACCCCTGGAACCCTATTCACCATTTGTTCCTGTAGCATGAGCACCATAATTTACATTATATCATGTTTTACATCGCATCTAAGTGACAAAGCCATAGTAATTTGACAATTGAGCGTGATAAAAACAAGCTATATATCATATCGCGGTGCTCATGCCAGGCACAAACACAACACCAACTCCACCAAATAGTGGCGTTATTTTACTGTCGTCGTGTTAGTCTTTTGTAAGGTGGACTTTGTGATAATACTCTATAGTATCGCAAGCGTTTAAGGGCTAGCTGATCGCTAACCTTAAGGCGGCCATTAAGTTTCTTTGCCACCTTTATTATATAAAAAACTAATTAGTGAATAATTTAAACTGATTTAAATTCCAGGAGTGTGGAGTCACTTGCCGCAACTACATAGACATTCACAAAAGGCACACGGCTGAAAACATCTTCACGCTAGTTAGTGATATAGAAACAAAAACCAAGGACTAAATTTTCACATTACTTTTGATAAAATTATTTTATACCAAATTACGAAAACGATATGAAATTCTATAGTTTTACGTGAGTTTCGTGAAGAATTTATTGATATGTCTTGTTAGATTGTTTTATTTCAAATATGGTCAAAACTAAATTATATTAACAGACTATGTATTTTTATTTATTCGACAAATTACCTTTCCGTTAGATGTTTCATAGTTTCCCACTCCCTTATATCCTGGCACATATTTGAATGATTATCAAATAAATAGTTACCTAAAAATGGTAACATTTAGGTATAGGTACATAGGCACACCTATACCTAAAGTTATAGGCAACATTGTTTTTAGGTGATCATTTAATTTTGTTTAGAGAATCATTTAAATATTTTCCAATATCAATTCGCACCTGTATGGGCATAAATGTAACCGTTATTTGTCAACTTTGAAACGTTCTCTAGATGGAAGGATACTTGAATATAGGTAGTATTAAAATTAATATGTTCTGAAAATTGTTTACTAACCACAGAATAACATAACACAGCAAAGGATACTGGGTCACATATTTTTTTTTTTAAACTGTTCATTTTTACACTTAAGCAATATGTATGTACGTGTATTTATCTAATTATAAATCTTTTCGTGTTCTTCATTAAATTTGACCGTGCACCATACAGGCCCAATCAGAATACCAGCGTTTTCGTGACACGTTTAGTTACATGTCAAGGCAGCAATATGCCGAGGCAGGGTCCTGATTGACCTATGATCATAGTTTAATAAAACCACGATGAAATCTGTCTCGACCATAATTAGCACGGTGTAAGCTAGGTGTAAGCGTTATTCTGAAACTTTAGTGATGTGTTCAATCGTTCGATTCACAATTGGCAGCATTATTGGCATTGGTACAAGATCCAGAGACCTTACATATTTTCTCATGGACAAAATATGGATAATTGAGTAGTATTACTGTGTACAATGAACGTACTTGCTAACTTGTGCTGCGAGCCAATTTTGGCAGGTAGCAGGTGGCACAGGCACGTAAAAAATTTACTCACTTTACTTACAGTCTTTTGAAATTAATACTTCCAGACACATTCTCTCAGCAGTTTTTATTGCCAGACACTTTTAATGTCGTAAGCTAAAAACACAACCTGACTTATTTTCTGCAATAATTTTGATAATTAGATAATAAGAAATTATTTAATTATTATAAAATACTTCCTCTACATTATTTATAAGATAACTTTAATGAAGCTGTATTATCACAGTGGCACTTTAAGTAAGCTTAGGGTACTTTTGGCTCCTAAGATTGGTCTGGCAGCTTACAAAATATAATAATAGCCCCCTAAATATCATAGATAGAAACTAATATTTAGCAAAAAACACAAACTTCCCTATATTATGAGACCTGAGTCTTGTGTTTTTTGCTTTCGTCATTTAAATTGTCTGTTATTAAATACTAGTGACAAAATGTGTTAATTTCAAATTGTTGACAATATTCTCTGCTGCATACGTAATAATCATTCCTCAGATTGTAAGTAAAGTGAGTAAAATTTTTACGTGCCTGTGCCACCTGATACCTGAAAATTGACGCACAGATTGCACACTAACACTAATCAATTATCCATATTTTGTCCATGAGAAAATAAGTAAGTCTGGCGGTTTTGAGATCTTATTCTTTATAAAAATATTATAATTAGATTAGTTCTACTAATTCTAAATAAGAGCCCGTTTAAGAGGAGTTAAAATCGTGCTACAATCTACATTAATAAAATTTTGTATTGATGTATCTATGTTCATGCTAAAGTTTTCACTAGAAATTGTAACATCGACGAAAAATCTAATCCAAACAGTCAAGGGGACACAGAGGTTAAAATCTGTCTTCCACTGTAGCATGAAGGAAACAGTTAAGGGTACACAGGAAAATAAACAAAAATATATCCTTTAAACTTTTAGATATTATAGAAAGATGTTTGGACTTATTTATTGAAGTGCCAGATTTCTTGGAAACCCCTTTTCCAAAAGGCACGTCAAAGGGTTTGCCACATACCTCGTTAGCGGTATAGTATCATTGAAAGTAAGTACCCCACAAAACTGTGCACTACAGGCTACAGCCCGCTAAATCCTCCGTGCCTCTTCGAATGTAGCAAGTGTTTCACGGCGGCCGACTGTGGTTAAGGTCAATTCACACTGGAATGGCAGCAAACGGCAGCGACATTACGAGCACTTTCTTACTGAAAGCAGTGTGAAATAATTTTAAACTTTATTTCCGCATACTTATAAAGATCAATATCGGCCGCGCAGTCCCCCCGACTCGCGATGCCACCCGATGGTGACACCGCGGAACCTTTTCAAATAATATTGGTTTTTCAAGTCAGTTGATAAAATTTAAATTATATCACACCTTTCAGTGTGAAAGTGCTCGCCGCGTCATTGTCGGCCGCTGCTATACCGGTGTGATTTGACCCTTAGAAACTACGCTCATTTACCCCGCCCCCGACGTTCCGGTAAAAGGTTTAATTAGAATACTGTTTAATTTAGAAATAGTCGGAGGTTCGTTTGCCTCTTTAAGGTAACTTTAGTATTTATTGTGTTAAGGTAATTGTTGTTTAAAACAAATCTAATTTAGCTCGACTTGGCATAGGATACAAAATTAAGCAGCAAGGGAAGATCTACGAGTAAGTTGTCCCGGCCCTCATACATATTCTTCATACTTCAGTTTAAAGGTCGTGGCATTCAATCTCAATGCGGAAAGGGATTGTCACCGTATCCACTCGAGCCGTTTAGTATTCTCAGTTAGAAATTCCCTACTGCAACACACTAATCGAAATCGTAACGTAATTGCACTGCCTCGGGATAAACTGCCAAACCGCGGTTCGGTGCAGCTTACGTCTCTCCGTAGCCTAGCTTACGTCTTTCCGTAGTATAGCTTACATCGCCCCTTCTGCTGCTACGCCGCGCTTACGGTTCGCCGATCGCTAGTTGACGGCGTAGTCGTAGCTGAGTCGACGTAATCAGAGCTACATAAGCGCTCACATTACACGTTAAAGATAGGTGGACGCCTGTTGACGGCAAGCCGAAAGGCGAGTCGATTTGGACTCGCTTCCGGGTTAATAAGTGTGCTATATGACCTTTGGCTATGACTATAAAGATAGTTATTGCATTCAGTGTATCTACGCGAAATTCTTCACCGATGGTCTATCTGCCAATGGCTGAGAACAATAGCTAAAGTCATGGAAGGAGCCACAGAGATCCAAGTAACCAGTTTCTGAGCATCAATCAACTTATAACAATAATATTATTTCGAGTCTCAAGATTAATTATTTGAATATCTAAGCATGCTTATACGAAAACAAAAAGTAAAATTAGGTAACAGGATTATTGTAAATCCTTCGTCCATATTCTTGTCTGACATATTTCACTTTTATTGTCATTCTTGAAAGTCGATGTCACTTTTTTAATGATTTTTTTATTATATAAGTATCTATTATGTTAGAAGACAAGATTTGTAATTAATATTTCATTTAACTGAAGTTTTGATAATAATTTGCAAAGATGTCTAAGATTGACCAGGACAAAGGAATAGTGTATTGCAATCGTGTCCTTATTGGCAATTGGTATGAAGCGTCCAAACTAGAAGAGGTGTTTATGCAATTATATATATAATATGGATTTACTTAACTGCTGGGGCACAGGGCTTCTATATTTATGCAATAGGCAGATTAAACCATTGATCACGGAAAGAGGTCTAGACTATGCTCTGACACGCGGGTCCAAGTGCTGTATGGCGAGTGCCAACGAATATGGATGCAGCCGGGACCAGCGGCTTAAAGAGCCTTCCGTAGCTCGGAGGAACTTGAGATAATAAACTATTGCTTACTCATCCTTTGACCAGGCGTTATAAAAGTAACGATTTCCACGATAGCAGAGCATCGAGTTCCTCGAAGGTTCTATTTATTAAAGTGAAATTTTTATTACATCGCATCATTTTTTTTTGGTTTTTTCTTTAGCATGTCGCATTACATTTTTAATTGTTGTTAAAACATTTAGACCATTTCAATAAATATCGGTGGTTCAGTGGTAAAAAGCTCGCCTGCCAATGAAGTGGCCCGGGTTTCATTCCCAGCCTGGAAAGCCTTTTTTCTACTTTTTGTACGCCTCAACAGTAACATGAACTTCGAATAATATTCCGTAAATTTTCAGTTTAATGCCTACGATCCGAGAAACAATTAAGGCGATGTGAAACACTTTATAAGTTTCACTTTATCGTGGTTTCATATAACAACAGCATTTTTTAAAAATCATATTTAACAGAAATATCTCGTTTTTATTCCCTTTAAAGTATGATTAGGAGTTACTGCTACCTTACGTTATGGAAAAAAGAATAGTCATGTAAAGTTCTAGCATCAAATGTTGTTCGTCAACAACAGTAGCAGATTGGCAACACATCACCTACGTCAGTTTCCGTTCCGATGAAAATTGGAAGCTGCATATTCTATGTTATTTTTTCGCTCTTAATCCAAAAGCGTGAACGTTAAGGCGCAATTACACTTGGTTGTTAGCCCGAATACGAGTGCCAACGGAGTCGGCTAGATTTCCTATTATTTACCCGACACCGTCTTCCAGCCCGTATTCCAGTATTAATATTGCTTCGAGTCCCCGAATTTAAATAATGTCTTTTGTGCACTCTAATACGGGCTAGCGACCAAATGTAATTGCGGCATTAGTAGTTGAATGGCAAAAAAAAATACATATACTTATGTTTTTTTAATTTTAATTAAGTTTCAAACAAACTGGATTGGTATTTCTTTGTCGAATAAATGCGTTAAGGCTTTAACCAATAACAAATGAAAGGGATCATTTATTCGTATTTATTGGGACATGTTACAGTACAAATTAAATAAATTCCTAGAGCAAATGAAGAAAGGCGACCTAATGCTGGCTAGATATCGCAAAATGGGAGAGAATCTTAATAAACCTACTGTGCTCACTCAAGCGTCCAGCAGCATTGGTTTTGGAGCTAAAATTTCTTTATTCGCTCCACATGTTCCAGGTAAATGAACTGTGAAGTTTTATAATCCAATACTACTAAATATTTCAATCTCTAATTTGTTCAAAAGCGTTTGAATCGAGATTGGGAATAAATTTAATGCAACTTAGTAGTAATGCTGGAATCAAACTTAGTTCTTAAAATTTTAACCAAAAAACAAATCAACTCGGTCAGGCGAATGCACTTTGATTGGTTGCGAAGACTCTGGTCCGAGTTCAGCCTGACGCCTTGGCGAAGTATGAATGAAAATGTTTATTTGCATTTTTGAGTTCAATATATGATAAGGTGTTTACTTGAACATTGGTTCTTTTAACTGTTTGTTAGGTTACAAGGCAGCGCCATGGATTGCGGAAGGGGCAGGTTCGAATCCTGCCTGAAACCTGAATCGAGTGAATTTTAATCTAGTATAAAAAACTTCAGATCTTTTATTACCTTTAAAGTGGTTGTTTCTGTAATCATATTTTTGGTTCACAGCATCGGATCCGCCAGTAGATGGTAACAACGGATTGCTGTTAGGCGGAAGGATTTCATCAAATGAGATAAACTACTCTCAAGCTCTGGAAGATGGGTGCGCTCTGGTTGGTTATCCCGACCTGGAGCCAGCTGAGCGTAGTGCTTTCGTCATCACCAGCGCTGACTACTGCAACCGTGACAACGAAAGATTGAAATACAACCAAGAGTTCTTGCTTACGCTGTCGTCGTCCCTCGATAAAACTGTTAGTGTTGAATCTAAATTTAATTTCAGGTTTTGACTTAATTTTTTAGCAATTAAAATAATTTTATTAGTAATTTTAGTAGCAATTATGGTGATAACACTGTCTATGACAAATATCTTAGGTAGACACGAGTGCGGTTACAATTTTCGAAACTCTGTCTGCTACTCTTCGTTTGTTTGTTATCGCTTTTTGTTAGCTTTGTATCCTAAATATTGCATCAATTTCAAATGGGTTTTAGTAGCCTTTTGTATAATGTGCTTATATATTTCTTTTAACCTACTTACTTTTAAAGGACATTGTTCTGCGTTCATACATTGTTAGCCTAAGAACCAACAATCATGAAATTGCGAGTAAATGACTGTAAAAACAAAGATTATTGACGGACACTTCTGAGAACTTAAATTATCAGGAAAACTAAATATTTTTTGAGGTTATGTTTAATATTAAATGAAATATAGGTCAACCTATGAACTCGGTATGAATTGAATTAATATTAGTACTAATTCATTTTTATTCGGTGCGATTTTAAAGAATAACTATTAGGAAAAACTTGGTTAGGTAGGAATCATGAATAAAATAAAAACTGTAGATTTGCTTCTTATTTTTTGACTATTTTTCACATAATTGTATCATATTGCATATTGTATTTATTTATATATCACATGTATACTGTGTAAATATGGAGCGTGAATGTGTATCAGGTGCTCTTAAATAATTTGGCAGTATGATCCTCTCAGGATGTTGTGGCACAGGTTATCTAGCACTTGGGGTAATAAGGTCTCTGCTATTTGGTAACATCGATGGCACATTAGATAGCTGAAATAGTGAAATTAAAGGAAAAACAATCGCAAATAAACCCACACAACAGGTAATCCGAAACGAGAATGCACGAAAGCCACAGATTACTACGACTGCAAACTGCCTGCACCACAACCACAGAGTATCGAGTTTTATGCCGGCCCTTCACTTGTCAACAGTCTGTCCTTGTCATGCTTAATAAGGAATAAATAGGACAGATTGATAGACTGATGTCAGGTTTTCAAAAAGCAAACACGAATAGCCAAGTGAAGTGCCGGCATTAGGAAGAAAGAGTGTTTTGTTTGCAGCGCTGTCATAGATTATACACATAAAATGGTAGTCTCAGATTCTTTTTTAACTTTTTAATATAGCTTACTTAACTGGAAGTGTCCGCCACAATCTTAATACTGATAATTATCGCAAAAAATATACTAAAAATTATCATAAATGCCAAATTGGTGTTGGTTCTTAGGCCAAATTTAACATTGTCCTTTGATTTCAATTCGAATAACCACGGAATAATCTTCTGAAGAACAAAAATTTCATACTTCGATTCGAGATTCGTATCGAACTTATTACGTGCATTGATTGAATTTATGTCGGCATTAGTTAGTGAAGAGTGGGTTTTGTTTCAGCCTCTCTACATAAGGTATGACCCGAACCCGATCCCGGGCCTCTGCGGTATGTTCCCCCTGTATCTAAGCAAGCATGCTGTGTCGAATACTCGATGGCGTGTGCTGCCGGTACAATCTCCTAACATTACACGTTTCGAGCAAGAGGGCCAGCCCGTTCAAGTGAGCTTTTAAGCTTTTGCTACTTAGTAATTTTAGTTTAACAGTTTAGTGATTACAACTTCTGTTATAAGTATCTTAAATTCCTAGATATACTGGAATCTTACTCACCGACAGAAACAGTACCACCCAAAGGTACAGTTATTTCCCTATGAGTCTTTCATGAGGAGTTGTTTCCCCAGATTGGCGTTCTAGTTCGAGTGGAAAATGCGCTATGTCCTATATTAGCTTAAAATTTAAATTAAAGTCCAATCCTTTTAAACCAATCATATTTATTTACGCCATTTTATGAAACAGCTATGTTTTTAAATCAATGTAAATATGATGCTAAGAGAAACATAATATTTAGAAGATACCGTGTTATTAAATTGATATTCCGAGAAAACTTAATTAACTGGGCGTCTTTATGCACAGGTTAACACAGATGTCGTTATAAATCATTGTGCGACAAATGTTAATTTGGGATTTAACGTCGGATGCTGGGCCATGGGATTTTATGGAAAAGTAAGCTGCTTCCTCATTCTCATTAAGCAATAATAACAATGTAATTAAAGTGAACAGGAAGTAATAATAGCAAATAACAGATTGTGTTATCTGACGAGAGTAAAATATTGTTTGTGTAATAAAGTTGGAAGAATGACGTATGAATCAAAGTGGCAACCGTTCTATTGATTGATAGCACCTATAAACTGAAAGTTTTACCAACTTTGCAGAAAGTGGTTTTATGTAGCTCAACTCTTTGGGATAGTATTTTAACTGTAACTCTCTCTCTTATATAGGTGAGCTTAATATTTAACTTGTGTGATTAAAAAAATATAATTTACATAATAATTAGATTCTCACGTTGCTAGGGAAATTAATTTTTATATCCTTTCAAGGTCCTTTTTATCTAGAAAAAAATAAAACAAGGTTTATTAATATCTTTTTTTCGTGAAGGATTCATCAATTGTCAATTTTATCAAGGAAATTTTACTAGAAATTACGGCCCACCTAGGATGGGTAATAATAGACTTATTAGATAAATTTACGAAATTAATGATTAAAAGAGCGACTAAACGGAATTCTATTTTCTTCGTATCGTTTTTTGGTAATTACTTAAGACACAAGGTAGTGCCGTCTTTGACCTATTGGAGGCACTGGGCATATTAGGACAATGGGCCTTATGACCACCGTTTGGTGATCTAACAAGAACTAGGGACTTTGTATTTGTGATCTGAGGTGCCCACCTATCGATCACGGGGCCCTGGGCACATGCCCAAAGTGCCCACTGGGAAAGACGGGTCTGTATGAATGAAATACCCACTTATCGATATCGTTTATAAAATTTGAAAAAAAATATGTAGAGATAAACCAAAATGCTACTTTTATGTTAAAAGGGTGGCAAGCAAGCATAATGCCCGCCTGATGGTAAACGGCCACCATAGCATAGACGCTTGCGATACAAAAAATATCACTCGCAACGTTGCTTAACCAACCCAATCCCCTACCCCGTGGAGCCCTGGAAATTTACTCACCTAGAGAAACACAACCCCATCAAAAGGTAGTTTTAATGCATAAATGAATGATTGGTCTCGCTTCGCTAGCGACCAATCATTCATCTATGTTTAAATGCTAGCATTATAAATGAGAATGTAAAGTATGTTGGTTTATACTTTCAAACCTAAGCTGGAGAACCGATTCTGATGATTCTTACTTTTAAAATAAAAAGGTCCTTGGTAAAGGACATGACTATTTTTGTAGGTAGCGAAAATATTACTCGATGATGCTAAAATAGGGGATGAAAATTAATATATTATAAATAAAAGATACATTAAAAAATTTACAATATTTTAAATTTCAGATTTGTGCCCCGTTAATGAGGACCTGTTTAGATGTGTACGGGAAGGAAACCTCAAACAATATTTGGCAAATATATACTCCAATATCGAGTTAATTACGAAATTTACTTGGTTCAGGTGCGAGTTTTAGTCAATAGACGAGTAATTTTGTGGTCAATGGGCTTTCATTTGAACGCAATATTAATTTCTGCCTGTGAAACATAATCAATGAACGGGTGATGACGATAAATCGATAGTGTCTCTTTTATCATATGGAGCTAAAGTTATACATATTCCGTCTACCATCCGAACATGAATAAGTCATATCCTTCGTTATAAGAATTGCTCTAAAACATCCATGAATACGACCGAACGAGTGCCTCTAGATATACGAGTATTATGTACATTACTTTAGCGTTTTATACAAAATCAGTGGGACGTTAATTGTAACTGACATATTGCTTTCAATACACCTTTTTTATAAGAGTTTTCATTTGGTCAACATAGTCTCGTGTAACCATGTTTGGCTTATTTCTTATGTTTTTTTTTATGTTGACAGGTGTCAAACAAGCGTATGGTAAGCGGTTACCGTAGCTTATAAACCCTTGCGATACCACAAATAGGTATCACTCGCACCATTGCTTCATCATCAGCCTATTAATAATAATAATAAATAAATATTTCCAATACTCACACCAATTAGCCTAGCCCCAAAGTAAGCACTGTAAGGCTTGTGTTATGGGATGCTAGGATAACGGATAGAATACATATACTGATACATATATAAGTATATTTATACAGAAATACATATTAAACATCCATGACTGGAGAGAGTTCCCCCACCGGGATTCGAACCCGGGACCTCTCGAGTCGGCGACACCATGAAACCCGGCGCACAAACCACTCGGCCAAGGAGGTCGTCAAATGTCCCCACTGCTGGGGTACAGGCCTTCCCTATGAAATGAAATAGGGAGATTGGGCCATGACCCACCACGCGGGCCCAGTGCGGATTGGTGGGTGAGCATTGCTTACCCCGACCCAAACCCCGCGGAACCCTGGAACCTTACTCACCGAGAGAAACACAACACAACCAAAAGGAACATAGTTTTATTTTAATGTGATCTTCTATAGGGTGAAGGTTATTTCTCCAGACTGCCGCTCCAAATCGAGCGGAAAATCTGCTATGCCTTACCTATCTTTACTTCATAGTAAATAAACAACTGTGAATTCGAAACAAATATTTTATGCGCATTACAAAAATAAAAGCCCTAAGCCACATTTGCAACCTATGATTTTTAAGAGAAGAAAATAGAAATACACTTTATAGAAAAAAAACCAATGTAATTAATGAAGTGTATCCCACTGACAGCCTGACAGACTTAAGCATGACTGGCAGCGGAATTTTAGTACTAGAGTTGATAAATATACATTTTGTTAATAGCTATACAATTTTCATAAAATTGAAATAGTGTTACTCAACCTGTTAATTCTCAAACGAAGGACATCTTCAGGGAAGACACATCTTCCTTCCATTGCCTTATCTCTCCTTTTTTAGGGTTCCGTAGACAAATGGCAAAAAACGTAATCCTTATGGATTCGTCATGTCTGTCTGTCGGTCTGTCCGTTCGTATGTCACTGCCACTTTTCTGAAACTATAAGAACTATACTGTTGAAACTTGGTAAGTAGGTAGATGTATTCTGTGAACCGCATTAAGATTCACACAAAAAGAGAAAAAAAAGCTATAAATTTTGGGGGATACTTAGAACTGAAACTCAAAAAAAGTTTTTTCATTAAACCCATACGTGTGGGGTATCAATGGATAGTTCTTCAAAAATGGTATTGAGGTTTTCAGTATATTTTTTTAAACTGAATAGTTTGCGCAAACTTCCACCAAAAATTAGTTAGAACTAGATATAGTAAGCATTTTTTTTAATATGTCATGAACCATTATTTTCTTACCCTAACAAGAACTTTTATATCATGTTACTTGCTGCTACGGAACCCTTCACGGGCGAGTCCGACTCGCATTTGGCCACTTTTTTATCTATTTGGTTTAAACTAGCTTTCTAAGTTGTCTGAAAGCAGAGCATTGTATTGGGTTTAATTTTGCAACAGATGAAGTTGCTTGAAATGTAATTGAATATTGGACAAAAAGGCTACAATAGTAAAAGGCCTTTCATTGATTCAAAATTCATCAAAATCGGTTCAATAAATTTAGACATGGTAACAGAAACAGATGCTTTTTCATTAATGTAAAATAATATTGCGTTCGTCGTCAGGTAGTATTCATTTATTTTGATGGAAACTTAAACAAAATGAGGACTCGAAAGTTGAAGTAGGTACCAACAGACGAGCTAGCACTCAACCAGCAAAGTTATAATTAGGTTGGTGCTCCGCCGAGCATGGCGCAGTAATCCACCAGGAGGTTGTCATTGTATTTCGTCATGTACTCGTATATCTGCGCGTTTAGTTTGCGCATTGCGCTCCAAGTGTTATGGGAATCCAATTAGGACTGCAGTCTGTCTTGAATTATTGTGGAGAATTCGGCGCGCTATCGCGTTTATGTCAATTTGTATACGCGCTCTGGTTGTAACGTGTCTGCTTCGAAATATTTTTTTTATGGGAACACGTTTAACGTAATGAATACTTTACTTTGAGGATTTCTTTTTAAAATATGTCAAAATTGTGACGCATGGAATTTTAGAATTGTTATTTTCATGTACTGCGACTGTGGGTATATAACAACAAACAGCTAAGCTGTAATCTAGGAAAATGCACCACGGATAAATTTTTATCCGATTTCTTTTAACATATTTTTCCACTTTCTACAAAAAGATGTATTTGCCTGAAATCTATCCTTGTTAAGTTTTATTCTGAAAATTTGAAATCCAAACTATCTAATATCAATTTATATTATATTTTTATAAACCCGGCGGTTAATATGGACTTTTTAATTTAAAAGTACGCAGATGTACCTACAGCGACGTGTATTAAATAGGACTGCTCATTCTTGAGTGGCCGCAACTTCCGGATGCCGATGCTTATCTGCCGTGAAAAGGCGAAGGGGACATGAACTAATCTCCTTTAAGAGCGCGCTGGACACAGCGAACTACCAGTGAGGGTTGCAACACCCGCGTGGTTGAGCTTTTACTGGCACTAGCTTTACGTCGCTTGTGTGATCTTGCTTTTAAGAGGATTACAACGTTGCACAAATACTTTTAAAGATATCGCCTTAGTCTCGTTTAAACTATATAACAGAAAAGTGTAGCTAATTAAAAGAAACATCGAGCAAAGTATCACACATACGAGTAGTAGTGAAATTTTTCTTTAGATATAGCAAGCAGTTAAATGCTTAATATAATAAAAATGTAGTGCGAGTGTGTGTGAATGAACACAATGCAGTTTTCCGGATCCAGTAAAAAAAACCTTTATCTGTCAATATATGTAGTAGTCCTTTTCACTGATCCGTTTAAACTTATACATTTTTATGTATGTAGTTATTATTATTGCGTATGTAGTTGTATATAAAGATATATATTATACTAGCTGACTCGGCGAACTTCGTACCGCTCAAAAGTAATAATTTGCAATAAATTAAAATAGCGACTATAATTTGAGATTTAAACTATCCTATCTCTCAAGTTGGATCGAACTGCACATGGTGTGCGAATTTTATTATAATCGGTTCAGTGGTTTAGGAGTCCATCGAGGACAAACATTGTGACACGAGATTTATATATATTAAGATATAAACACACGAAAAAAAATCCGATAAAACGGATCAGTAAAACGGAGACCATGTGTGAACGGGCACTAACTTACCAAATTAGATTCTTTTCATAACTCAATATATAATACTTACGTCTGTACTAACATTGATAAATTTAATTCGAATCAAATTTATTACCTGTGACGAAATTAATATTTCGAGTGTGTCTGCAAGAATTAATTTGTATTCTAACGAGGTGTCTTAAGTATTTAATTAAACTTAATTTAGTATGTCGTAAGTGATAGGGACGTTTCGTATCTTTTGCAGCGTTTGTGATTACTAGACTGGAATGAGAACCTGTAAACTCTCTAAAATACTTATGTAAAATGAAAATACACTTGTTTAAGATTTCGCTTAAGAAGCGTATTATTAAAAATTTAGGCAGAAGTTTAAGAAATAGCTTTGATGATTAATATTGATAAAGTATGTCGTGTTTATGTATATATACGCATGCATGTTTATTCTTTATTTATATATTATTATATATTCAGAATAATATGAGGAAAAGCAAATTATGTGAATTACATAATGAATAGGTAAAGGCATATCCAAAACTTTCACTGGATTTTAAAATCTAGCTTTATATATATATTGATTTTGCATTATTGAAATTAGCAACAAACGATATTACTCGGTATTGACAAATGGTATATCGATTTTATCAGTACTAAATCTGATCGATCCTAGTATTTTTTGTATTATTTTTACGTCCATAATACTTACTTATCCGAAAATAAAGAATGAAGAGAACTTTTAAAATATTTTTTTCAGTCTAGGAAAGACTGCAGATAAATTAAGTTGTTTTAATGAAGTGTTTCTTTTATACTTGTCTGTTTTTATGTAATATAAAAGAACCCTCTCTTATGAGAGAGCGATGTACGTTTTAAGAGCCTTGTACCTTAGCGTGAAGCGGAATGTTTCGTCTGTATGGCACTCTTAGTCTGCACTTAATGGATAATAGCTAGTGTGACTGTTACTTAGTAAAGCACTGCTGTGCTAAGAGGATTTTAGTAGCAGGTACGTATAAATGTGCTATTTAATTTTTTAGACTAATTTTTTTTAGCAATCTTTTGGAATCGGATCATTTTTGAAATGCTAAGGTATATTATTTAATGACCTTCTTTATTTCAGTGATTAGTTTATCTTAGCACGTTTAAAAATAAAATAATTTATTGACGTCGATTGTAAATAATATTAATATATATTTACTATTACCTACACCAAGCAGTGTCTAAAGAAACTCAATTTTCTTTGATATTCTATCCATACCTTGATAAAAAGATTCCAAGAAACAAACACATATATTACTTACCTAGTATTCTACTTATAATTTTTCTCCTATGATCTTACATTTTTCATTTATTGCTTTTTTTAACTTGTAAATAAATGTATTTATTAATAGATATCCTTACATTTACTTGCGGAGTTTTTAATTTTTACTCTCATCCCCAGTTCTCGTAGTTGCGTCATAACTTACTATAATACACTGATTCAGAATAGTGGCTAACATTAGCTATGAGCAGCACAGAAGTTACCATTTGGTTACGGAGTTGATGCTTTGACTTTAGTAAAAGCTTTAAAGATCAAAACATAAAAGAAAATATGAGGCGCTGTAAATGTGTAATAAAAAATTGTAAGCAACAGCCGACATTTTTATTTCAACAAAGTAACATCCTCTTATCATAATAGCAAAGAAAAGTATGTGTGTGCATGAAATCGAATTCCTAATTTTGTTCCAAAATTTTTTATTAATAAAATCATCGTTATAAATACAAATAAATAGGTAAAATTATATCACAGTTTCCCTGAATTCTTTGCCTATGTGTCCGTGGCAAGGCTTAAGTA